TTAGGAAAAACCTCCCGTCATGATTTTTTCATTACTCGAGGGGGTCTGGGTATTGGGCTGACCCGAGTAAGAGCGTCCCCGATCCCATTCGCGGCCCTCCTCGTGGCTCCTCGCCTCGCCTCCGGCCATCCCCGCCCCCGCGGCCCTGGCGCCCCGCCGCGTCCGCTCACGGCCTCCACCCTTCTCGGCGTCAACTCCTCCTCCTCCTCCTCCTCCTCCTCCTCCTCCTCCTCCTCCTCCTCCTCCTCCTCCTCCTCCTCCTCCTCCTCCTCCCCCAGAGCTGGCGGCGATGGCGAGGAGCGATCGGTGGCGGCGTCGACGACAGCGATGTCATGCTCGTGTGGCCGCTGCCGCAGAGCGCAAGGCGCCCCTTCCAGGAGGGGAGGGGCGCGCTCGTCGCTCGCCCGCCCGCTGCTCGGGCAGGTGCGGTTCTCGAGCACGCGTTCCGCTGCTCGCTCCTTTGCGATCCCGGCAGGGTCCAGCGATGTGCGCGTGGTGTTCACAGGCGTTGCGGCGCTAGCGGGCGTTCCGCGTCGTTCGCAGGCGAAGGCGCTGTCCGCGAGAGAAGAGGGGCAAGAGGGAGGAGGAGGAGGAGGAGGAGGAGGAGGAGGAGGAGGAGGAGGAGGAGGAGGAGGAGGAGGGCGAAGAATGGCGATGGAGATGAGGAATGACACCGTTAGAGGTAAGGGTTCGACACGTCCAAGCCGCTACAAGCGCGGTGGCGATTTCTATCCTGTCGCCGCCGAGTCCACCGACGCCATCGTCATCAACCTCGTCTTTTGTCGTCGTCGCTTCCGCCGTCGCTGCCGCCCTGGCGTCGTCGTCGTCGTCGTGGTCGTCGTCGTCATCGTCGCCGTCGCTGGTAATCGTCGTCAGTCGTCGTCGTCGTCGTCGCCGTCGTCGTCGTCGTCGTCGTCGTCGTCGTCGTCGTCGTCGTCGTCGTCGTCGTCGTCGTCTGTCGTCTATCGTCTGTAGTCGTCTGTCGTCGTCTGTCGTCGTTGTCATCGTCGTCCTCGTGGTCGTCGTCGTCATCGACGTCGTCGTCGTCGTCCTCGTCGTCGTCGTTGTCGTCGTCGTCGTCGGTTGCCTTGCTCACCACCGCCGCCTGCCCGCTCTATGAGCTCATTTCTGTGCCGTGCCTCGCTCCATCGCCAGGGAACCTGCTGATGGTCGAAGCTCTCCGTGGCCCCAAAAGCCCCTTCGTCCCTAAGTTGAGGCTCTATGTTGCCAGGCTGCACTCGCAGCCTCCGCCTGAGGGTATGGGGAGGGGGGCGAGAAGGAGGAGGAAGATGAGGAGGAGGAGGAGGAGGAGGAGGAGGAGCAGTAGCAACAGGAGCACGAGGAGGAGGGGGAGGAGGAGCAGGAGGAGGAGGGGTAGGAGGAGGAGGGGGGTAGAACGAAGAGGAGGGGGAGGAGGAGAACGAGAAGAAGGACGAGGAGGGAGGAGGAGGAGCACGACGACGATGATTCCGATGACGACGGTTTTCGACGACGACGACGAGGACGGCGACGACGGTTCCGACGGACACCACTTCGATGGGGACTCCGACGCTGACGACTGCGATGCCGACGACGATGACGATGACGATGACGACGAATTTTACGGCGACGATGCTGACGATTCCGACGATGACGATGACGACGACGACGACTTTGATGGCGACTTCGACGCTGACGACGACGACGAACACGACGACGACGATGGCGGCGACGGCGATGATTGCGACGGCGACGCCGATAACTCAGAACATGATTTCGATGAGGACGGCTGCGATGACATTTCCAATGGTGCCGACGACGCTTCCGACGAAGATTGTGGTGCTCGCGCTGTGGTATGGTTGTCGCAGGCGCGTACTGGTCGCTCTCAGGTAGTTGCGGTGCTCGCATGTTCCTTGCCGGTGCTCGCAGGCCTTGCACGCGTGATCGAATCGCAGGTCTTTCCTGCGCTCGCAGGCATAGAGTGATGCTCGGGCGCATACTCTGGCGATCGCAGCGCGCCCCCACCCCGACAAAACCCACCCCGCCCAAACGTTACCGTTACCCAGGGCGCAGAACTTCCCCCCCTGGGTAACGATCGTTGCCAGCCAGAACCACAAAATGATCTCCAACGATTTGGTTCTTGTCAACCGCTGGTGTTTCCTCGATTTCGATCCCATCGATCACGGATGGATGCAGACGAAACGCTACCACTGGACAAGCGGTCGGGACCAGCGTTGGGCCGTGGGTTGAAACGATCGGATCCGCGGGTGTCATTCGGCGGCGAGCGAGAGGGGGAAGTGAGAAGGAGAAGGCCCACTCAGAAGGCGGCGGGACTTCTCAGAAGCCCTCCGGCCTCCTGCGAAGTTGTTCGCGTCTTCGGGAAAGGTTCAGGAAACTCATCAGGAGACTCGGGGACATCCGAGCCTTCTGAGAAGGCTCGCGGCCCATGCCTCCGACATTCCTGTGGCAATGTGGCCCTCGAAAGGGTCTTGTGTCCTCTCGCGTGTCCTGTCCGATCAAGTCCGACTGTAGCCATGGCGGGAGGATGCTGTTGGCGACGAAGCTCCAGAGCCCTGCGCACGAGCCCCCGGCCGACCCTGGCCGCAGAGGCGGCTCTCCGGCCGTTCTTGGCGACCTTCGGAGACAGGCGGTGCCAGAAGCATCGCGACGGCCTGGTGTTGCTTTAGATGCTCGGCCTCCAGAAGCCTCGGGCGTGGACAGAAACCCCACCCTGACACGTCGATCAGTGAATTGTCTGTTTTCGGCTCTCGAGAGGGCGCCGCGGCCGTCATTTTCCAGGCTTGCGCCCGCCAGGTTTGGGCCCGAGGTCGTTTTCAGTAAACCACTAAAGGGGGTTCTGTCCACCCCCGGAAGCCGCCTCCGGGCATTGGGGCCGTCAGGACACGACCACCTGGGGAGAGGTCGAGGCCACTCGGGGGCCCGCTTCGCGAAAGCGTGGAGTCGTCGGGGGATTCTGGCAGCGTTGAGCTCCTGGGCTCTGCGCACGTGCCCCCGGTGGACCCTGGCACGCGCGGCTCCACTGCAGGAGCACGCTCGCGGACACCGGTCAGACTCTCGATGAGTCGCGCGACGCTCGGAACGGAAGGCGGCTCGAGCGCTCTCAAAGTCGCACGCCCGACGAAGCGAGCTCACGCCAGGCTCAGGACGTCCTGGGCGCCGCAGGGTGGAGACGGGGGCACCGCCAGCCCCTCACAGGGGCAGAGGCCGGGGGGCGGCGAGCTGCGGACGGAGGCGGGGAGCAGGGCGCAGTGGCGCCAAGCGGGAGCCAGGCGATCGTTGTCTTATCTGGTGTTTTGCCGAGGGGCGCAGGCCCTCGCACCCCTGACCCCCTCCCCATGGAGCAGACCTTGGCCGTTTCTGGCGCGTGCTTCGAGCAGGTGGGGCCCTTCCCCAGGGGACGCGCTGCTGCAAACAGTCGCACTGAGCAGAGGTCCGGAGCCAGCCCCCCCCCCCCTTCCCGCGGGAAAAAACACAAACACACACAGTGGGTTTTTTGTTCCCACAGTGTGTGTGTGTGTGTGTGTGTGTGGTGCGTGTGGTGTGTGTGTGTGTGTGTGTGTTTGTGTGTTGTGTGTGTGGTGTGTGTGTGGTGTGTGTGGTGTGTGTGGTGTGTGTGTGGTGTGTGTGGTGTGTGTGTGGTGTGTGTGTGGTGTGTGTGTGTGTGGTGTGTGTGGTATGTGTGGTGTGTGTGTGTGGTGTGTGTGGTGTGTGTGGTGTGTGTGTGTGTGTTTGTGCGTGCGTGCGTGCGTGCGTGCGTGCGTGCGTGCGTGCGTGCGTGCGTGCGTGCGTGTGTGTGCGTGTGTGTGTGTGTGTGCGTGTGTGTGTGTGTGTTTTCCCCCACAGGCTGTGTGTGTGTTTTTCCCACGGTGTGTTGTTTCCCACAGACTCTTCCCGCTCAATGCCGCAGCGCCGACCACAGCAGACGCCCGCCAGCGGAAGGGGCCGCGGGCGGCGGCGGGGAGCGGGCGGCCGGCAGCGGCGCGGCCGGCGAGCGGCGGCGCCGCACGGGCGCGGCCAGGGCGGGGGAGCCGCGGGCAGCGCCGGGGGCGTCCGCCGGCATGCACGGAGAGGGCCCCAGGAAGGAGGAGGGCGAAGAGGCCCACGGGAGGCCCACAGCTCGGTCGGGCGGGGGCCGCGACGACCTCCGGGTCAACCACGGAGCGCCCGTCGCAGATCGGCGGCGGCGACGGCGGGCGCCGGCGCGAGACGTCGTCCGCGGGGCCCGCGGGTCTGGTCGGCGGAGACTCGGGCAGGGCTCGAGGCGTGGGGGGGGCTCCGCCCGGTCGTGGGCGGGACCTTGCGGGGCCGAGGGAGGGAGAGAACGAGGTCGCTTGCTGGGGCCCAGGACCTGGTGAAGAGGGCCCAGAATATGTTTTTCTCTCTCTCTCTCTCTTTTTCTGTTATTGTCTTGAAATGTTTGTCTCTCTCTCTCTCTCTATATATACCTCTCTCTCTCTCTTTCTCTCCCTCTCGCTCGCTCCCATCCCGCTTACCCACCTTGTCGGCCTCCCCCCCCCTCGCCCTCTCCCTCCTCGCCGCCCAGTCCTCATCCTTCCTCCCTCCTCTCTTCCCTCCTATGTCAGCCTATCTCTGCCTGTTGCTGTGCTGTCTGGATCCCCTCTGTTCGTCGCAGTCGCTGTGAAATCCACACCCCTCGGGATCGGCGTCGCCCCTGGGAAGAGCCCAGAGTGGGGAGAATTTCTCAGAGGGAATTGTCTCTACCTCCTCCCTCCTTCTCCTCCTCCCTCCTCCCTCCTCCCTCCTCCTCCCCCTCCTCCTCCTCCTCCTCCTCCTCCTCCTCCTCCTTCTCCTCCTCCTCCTCCTCCTCCTCCTCCTCCTCCTCCTCCCCCTCCTCATGCCTCCTCCTCCTCCCGCAGAGGATCAGCAGGACCCCAGGGGCGCGGTCCAAGGGATGGTCCCCCCGAACCGTCCTCCACTTCCCCGCTTGATCATCCTCTGGCCCGAGTGGCGTGCCTTGATCCGCGGCGGCTCGCTGCGAGGCAGAAGGCGTTCATGTGGCAGATGCGGGTGCCGCCGCACTACATTGGCAAGGCCGGCGCTCGCCCTGCTGCTTCGGAGGCCGTTCGCTCTCCGAGGCCAGGCCCCCAGATCGACAGCAGAGCAGGTGAGCCTGTTGGTTCCAGTGGCAATCTCGCGTTCCAGTCGGAACTTTCGACGCACGATTGCCACCGCGCTTCTGCACACAGCGCTAGTGGTACGCTGACGCGTCCGCGCTCGCTCTTGCCCGTCCTGCCGATCAATCGCGAGTGATCCTTGTGTGTTGCTCCTGCTTTTCTTGTTTTCGTCGCCAGCGCCGCTGCGGCCGCTGTCGCCGCCCTAACAGACGTCGTGTTAGTGTTCTCTCTCTCTTTCTCTCTCTCTCTCTCTCTCTCCCTCTCTTTCTTTCATTATCTCTCTCTCTCTCTCTGTCTGTCCTTCTCTCCCTCTCTCTCTCTCTCTCCCTATTTGTATACATGTGTACAGGTGTATACATATAACGGCGCACCGGGTCCGGGGGCCCGGGGCCGGGACCCCGACCACAAATGTGGGCCCCGGGGGGCCCGGAGGCTCGTCGGGGCTTGCCGGAGGCCTCCCCGGTCAGACAAAACGGCCCCAGAAGCGCCCAAGACGGCCCAAGAAACTTCCAAGAGGCCTCCAAGAGGGTTCCGAGATGCTGAAGATGGCCTCCAGACGTTCAAGGACGCCCCCAAGAGGCCCCAAGAAGCCTCCAACATGCGTCCCAAGAGGGCCCCTAGACGCAAAAATTGGCCCATTCCTTTCGTAAAACGTACATTTTCAACAAAGTTGTCTTTTGGGTTTTCCGACGTTACAGGACGGCCCAAGAGGCGCCCAAGACCGCCCCAAGACGGCCCAAGAAGCTTCCAAGAGGGCCCCAGGACAGCCCAAGAGGGCCCCAAGACGGCCCAAGAGGCGCCCAAGATGGCCCAAGAGGGCCCCAAGACGGGCCCAAGAGGGGGCCCAGAGGGGGACCACGAACCGCAAGCTCGAGCCTTCCGCCCCAAGAGGCCGCCAGGAGGCCCCCAGGAGGCCCCTCAAGAGGCCCCAGGAGACCCCCAAGAGGCCCAAAGGAGGCCCCGAGAAGCCCCAAATCGGCCCCCACAATGCTTCGAACCTGCTTCCAGGAGGCCCCCGACAGGTTCAGAGGCTCCCAAGAAGCTACGTCAAACTCCCAGCGAGCGGCCGGACGAGGCCCCCCAAAAAATCCCAAGAGGGTTCCAGTATTTGTATCCTTCAGCGCTCTCTGGCCTTCTTCCCCCTGCCCCCTTCCCTGCGACTTTCGTTGACTCAAGCTCGCCTCCTCTCCATTTCCTCTCTCTGCCTCTCTCTCTCTCTGTCTTCTTCTCTCTCTCTCTCTCTCCATCTCTCTCTCTCTCTCTCTTCGCTCTCTGTCTGTCTGTCTCTCTCTCTCCCTCTCTTTCTCTCTCTTTCTCTTTCTTCCTTTCAGATTCCGTGTCCTTGCGACCTTCTGCAGTCCCCGACGTCGCCACGGCTGGATCCGCTCGAGCGTGTCTTGTGATGTGCGGCGGTGCGAAGCCCGTCCCACTGATCAAGGCACAGGTACGAAATGATGGGTCCATCATTTCTTGCCTTCCCATGTGCGTTTTCCCAATCGATTCCTGGGCCCGAGGTCGCAAAAATTACGACGTCGGAGGTCTGGGGAGGCGGGAAGCACGACCTGGACCTCCGACGTCTTGGAAAAATCACGACGGCGGTCTCGGTCAATTTTCGGCCTCCGGGGCCCCTCGCAGGGTCCCGGGACCGTCAGAAAACGACTCAGGATGAAAAAAAAAACACATCCCCAGGAAGTCGTCGTGAGGTCCAGGAGGCCGCGACAGAAACATCACGACCCGCGGACGTCCAGAGAGGAGGTAGGAACACGAGGAGGACACCAGACCTCCTGGCGACGCAACACCAAAGACAACAAAAGCTTCCCCGCGACTTCCCCCAGAGACTCTAACTACAGAAACTCCTTTCGTATTCCGGCCAGAAGCATCCAGAAACGATGTACATTAGCCCTGGCGGGGGGAATGATGGCGATGGTGATGTTCATGATGACGACGGTGACGATCCTAGCTAGAACCTAAGCGCGCGCGAAGCGCGCGTGGTTCTAGTTATGTATATGTGTGCATGTATGTATGGATGTATGGAAGAATATATGGATGCATGTCTGTATGTATGCATGCAAGGTTGTGTGTATGTGTGTATGGATGGATGTTTGTCTGTCTGTCTTTCTGTCTGTCTGTCTCTCTGTATGTCTGTCTGTCTGTCTGTCTGTCTGTATGTCTGTCTGTATGTCTGTCTGTCTATTGGCATATATGTATGCATGCATGCATGCATGCATGTATGTATGTATGTATGCAGGTATGTGTTTATGTACGTACGTGTGTGTATGTATGTGTATGTGTATGGTTGTGTGCATGTGAGTATGTACGGCTGGATGTGTACATGTGTGTGCATGTGTGCATGTATGCATGCATGCATGCATTCAAGCATGCACATATGCATGTGTGCTTGTATGCATGTGTGCATGATTGTACGGATGCTTGCATGTATGTATGTATGTATGTATGTATGTATGGATGGGCGTAGATGTGTATGTACTTAGGTATGTATGTGTGGACAAAAGGTAGGTAGGTAGGTCGGTAGGTCGGTAGGCGTGTAGGTATGGTTGTTTGTCTGTGTGTAAATGTGCATGCATGCATGTATGTATGTATGCATGCATGCATGTATGGGTGTGTATTTGGTCATCTCTCTCGTTTACGCGTGTGTACACGTATCCCTCTCCAACAGATGTATGTCTCTCTCTCTCTCTCTCTCCTCTCTCTCTCTCTCTTTCTCTATCTCTGTCTTTCACTCTCTCTCTCTCTCTCTCGCGAGCTCTCTCTCTCTCTCTCTCTCTCTCTCTTTCTCGCGCTCTCTCTCTCTCTCGCGTGCTCTCTCTCTCTCGCTCTCTCTCTCTCTCTCTTCTATATATATATATGTATATATGTATGTATACATTTATCTCGCAGCGTGGCTAAGAAGGGCCGTTGGATATATATTCGTTTTGGTGTTGCCACATCTGGAGTGGTTGTTAATCCGTAATCCCATAACTGCCCCGATTTCCCATCATGTAAGACATTGGCATAAACAGATCTCCCTCTCTCCATCCCTAGCAGATCTCCCTCTCTCTACCCCTCTGTCTCTCTGACCGTCTTTCGTTTTTTTGTTTCTCTCTCTCTCTCTCGTTCTCTTTCTCTCTCTCTCTCTCTCTTTTTCTCGGTTTCTCGCCCTGTGTGTACATCCCAACTGTGTCTGGGCGCTGCGCCCGCTCGGCAGGAGCAGTGGGGAGGCACAGGAGGAGGAATGTTGCGAGGAGAAGAAGGAGAGAAGGGAGGAGTAGGAGGCGGGTGGCCAAGAGGAGCAGGAGGGAGGGAGGAGGAGGAGGAAGGAGGGAGGCCAGGAGGAGCAGTAGGAGGAGGGAGGGAGGAGGGAGGAAGACGAGGAAGGAGGAGGAGGACGACGACGACGAAGACGACGACGACGACCGACCGGTTGACCGACCGACCGACGGACCGACCGACCGACGTTGGACGACAGACGACTGACGACTGACGGCGGACGGCGGACGACGGACACCGGATGGCGACAACGACGACGACGACGACGTGACGAACGCGAGGAGTTTGGGGAACTCTTCCGGGACCTCTCCCTCGGCGAGCTCGGCGCGCGGGAGGCGCGGTCGTCCCGCTTGGGAGGCGGGCCGCGCCGAGGCTCCTCCGAGGCGCGCCCCGGGGCTGCGGAGGGCTCGGATCCTCGATCCTCGATCCTCGATCCTCCTCCTCGATCCTCGATTCTCCCCCCTCCTCCTCCTCCTCCTCCTCCTCCTCCTCCTCCTCCTCCTCCTCCTCCTCCTCCTCCTCCTCCTCCTCCTCCTCCTCCTCCTCTCTCCTCCTCCTCCTTTTCTCCTCCTCCTCCTCCTCCTCATCCTCATCCGCCTCCTCCTCATCCGCCTCCTCCCTCGATCCCTGACCCAAGATGCCTTCAGTGCAACGCGGGAGGGCAGGCCTCCGCAGCACGGGCGGCGAAAATCATTGCCCGCATCAGCGCCCTCACGGGGACTGGATTCCAGGGCGCGATCCCGCGGATACGCGGTCGCACGGGTACGCTCCGCGCGGGCAAGTCTGCGAGAACGCGAGGCCGCGGATACGGACATGCGCTTCGCCCACGAAGGGCCTGCTGGCAGAGCGGCCGAAGATTGGCGGCTGCCGCGCCCTCTTGGGGGGCGGGGGTGCCGCACGGGGTGCAATCGTCATGAGGCTGGAGATCCGAGGCTCCAAAGTTGGAGCGACCATGAAAAACGATGCAAACCGAAAAGCCGAAGTGGTCCAGGCCTCCGCGGGTCAACGCATCGAACGATCGGAGCGCCAGATGTCCGGGGCACGGGGCGGAGCCGCCGTGAAGAAAAAAACCCTGAGGCTCCGGAAGTGTTACCATCTTGCCCGCAACGTCGGACCTCAGGGACGGATCCCGAGGGAATCCGGTCCCGCGGGCTCTCGGCCGTTCTCAGGGTGCTTGTTTTTCTTTGGATTCGGGCAAGTTTACTTGCATGGACGGGGGGGGGGCTGAGTCTGAAGCAAGCCGAAAACAATTCGACGTGCGGGAATCACGCAAGTCGAAAGGCACTTGCACGCTCGTGTTCGATTGAAGAGGGGCGAGGGGGGAGAGGGTGGGGGGGGTGGGGGCGAACGCCATGCAAGTAAGCTTGCCTGGATCGAAAGAAAAACAGGCTCAGGCCTCCAGGACCCTCGACGGGCACAGGGACCGGCAGGAGACGGCTCGGGACGCAGAGCTGGTCCTGGCGGAGGGCCCCGGTGCCCTCGGGGCCCGCCTGTTTCGTGCCAGCGGGAGGGGCACGGGAAGGCGGCACGGCTCCATGAAAGTGGGCGTTCCCCCCCCCCCCCCCTTCTAGGGAGCTGGGGCAGGAGGAGGGGGTGGGGGGGAGGGAGGCGCGAGGTCACGGAGTGGCCGGCGGGAAGCGCCAGGGCTGGCCAGTGTCAGGGGGTGCGAGGTGGGAAGAGGTCGGGCGGACGGCAACGGGGGCAGGCAATAAACGTGGGGTGGGATCGGGGATGGTGGCAGGAGAGGGGCACAAAACTGTTGCCGCGGGCACGAAAAAGGTGCGCGGAGGGTGCGCGCCTCGTCAGCCCCCCATGTTTACTGTCCCCCCCCCCCTGGGAGCAACACCCGAGGAGCGCAGCGTGTCTGGAAGGAGGGGGGATTCGTGTCAGGAGGCGAATGGGTAAGATTAAGTCGGGCCTGTCCCTCTACAGGAGGAGTACTCAAAAATAGTTAAGAATAGTCTGGGGGCGACTGCTTTTAGTATTTGTGCTGCTATTTTCGTTCATTTGTTCACTATCTTTTAATTTTCGTCCAAGATCGGCCTGTAGGGGGATATGCCCGACTTAAGATTTGTGTCAGGAGGCGAATGGGTAGGGCACACACACACACACACTGGTGTCATCGGTGCAGAGGGAGAGGCATGTCTCGTGCCACCGTGTTTCCTGCCACGTCACGGCTGCCACTTTTCAGACCCGTGCGGCTCCGGGCATGGTGAAAACGTGCATTCCTGTGTATTCCCAGGGGTTCCTAGGAAAGACGCGGCCGGGGTGTTGATCCCCGAGAAGGTCGTTGCATGTGCGCGCGGGAGGAAGACTTCGACGTGCGTGGCGTTTGGGGGAACACAAGAAGTGAGGACCACTGGGGGTTTTCGACCTCCGAGAGCCCCCAGATCTGGCCGAAAACGCCAGCTACAGCATCCCGAAGGCGGCGGAGCTACACTAGGCACATCAGACAAGGAATCGGCCAGGTGCCCTCACGGTCATTTCTGATCCCCCAGAGGCCCCAGGGACCCACAGAAGCTCTGGGACACCGTAGGATTCGCGAAGGTCGACGAATAATGTGCCCCAAGATATCTTACAGCCAGATGTCTTACACTGCGTGCCCACTGCAGGCTGATGTGTTCGCCGGCGCGCAGTGTACTGACCGCGCGCCTGCGGCCTGCATGGCGGCTTCTGCTCGCCCACCCGTGCGCGCGCGGGCGCCCCGAGGTGATCCAGGAGACCAGCGAGAGGGAGACCAACGAGAGCGAGGCCGACGACACCGGGAGGGCCAGCGGCCACGACTCGAGAGCCAGCGCGCAGGGCTGGAACGACGCGCCGGACGGGGCGCGGGCGTGGGCGAGCAGTCTCAGGCGGGCAGGCATGGGAGCGAGGGGCGCACAGCATAGGAAAGAGGATAGACCGAGAGGATGGGAGTGGGAAGGTATGAGCGACGTCGTCGTCGTCTGTCGTCGCCCTCGCTGCTTGCTAGCAGCGAGATAAGGGAAACGTTGTTTCGTTAGCCCCCCCTTCCCCTTGCTCCGTCCACGGCGTTGTCGTCCGTCGTCATCGGTGTCGTTGTCGGCGTCTTCGTCGTCATAACTAACAAGTTTCGTCGTGGTGGTCTTCGTCGTCGTCGCGGTTGTCGGCGTCGCCGTCCAGGAATATTCTGCGGGGGAAGAGCACGCTACACATGGAGTGAAGTCAGTGATAAGATGGAAGTCTGTTTTTTCTGGTTTTGAGCCAGCTATGATGCCCACTCGTGCCCACCCCGTCCCGTCTTCAGGGACTTCGCATTCCCCTACGATGGTGGGATGGGAAGCCGGGTCGCCCTCCCCCGCACTGCAGGTACGGTTCCGGTGCTCGCTGCTCGGGGGGATTTGCCCCCCCGCGGCCTTTATGACATGATGGGAGCTGCGGAAGGTGTGAGGCCTCATGGCGGTCCTCACTAGCAAGGCCTATGACGGTCCTCACCAGCGGGGGGGAAGAAGAGTGCCTGAGAAGGGCAACGAGGGAAACTGAAACCACCGTCCAAACCCAAGCACGAGAGAACCCACGATCAAAAGGAGCGGGCGGTCCACAGGTGGGGAGTCACGCCGCACCCGCCGCCACCTCGCGGCGCCACGCCCCCGTCGAAAACCTCGCTTTTATCGGCAGCCCTTGGAGAGGCAGCACAAGTCCCACGTACGCCCACTCTTGTCCCAGCCGTGGTCGTCGTCGTCGCCGGAGTCGTGGTCCCAGTCGTGGTCGACTTCCGTCGTCGGTGTCAGGATCGTTAGGATTTGCTCCCGCAGCCCCTAAGCTGGAAGCTGCGAAGGCAAGATGGAAGCTGCGAAGGGTGTGAGATCTTATGGCGGTCCTCACTGGCAAGGCCTATTGTCCGCACCGGAGGGGGAGGAAGAATCTGAAAAGAGCCGTGAGAGAATCGAAAACCACCTTCTAAGCCTAAGAACGAGAGAACCCACGATCAAAAAAGCGGGCGGTCCACAGGCGGGGAGTCACGCCGCACTCGCGGCGCCATGCCCCCGTCGAACACCTCGCTACTATCCCCCCGGGAACCCTTTAAGAGAGAGAGAGAGAGAGCACGAATCACTCGGACGCAATCCCCCGCACTCGTGTTGCTGCGTCCACTCGCACTGGCAGTCATAGTCGTGGTCGTCGTCGACGTCGCTGAAGTCGTCGATGTCAGGCTCGTTGGGATTTGCCCCCTCGGCCCCTATGATGGGAGCTGTGGAAGGTGTGAGGCATCTTGGCGGTCCTCACTGGTAAGGCATTGAGCGCGAAGGCCTGCGATGGTCCTTCTTCCCAAACGAGCCATCTCTGGTGGCTTCGTATTGGGTGCGAGTTCCCTATGATGGCCCCTCTGGTTGCCTATGATGGCGGCACTAGTCGACCGGCAGGGGAGTGAGTCCCGTTCACAGTGCATTAGGGGAGAGCATGTGCCCACCCCGTCCCGTCTTCAGGGACTTCGCATCCCGTTATGACGGTGGGATGGGAAGACAGGCCGCCACCCCCGGCACTGCACGTACGGTGCCAGAACTCCCCTCCCCTCCCAGCCACCCCCACCCTCCCACCCCCCAGGCTGCCGCCTCCGCAGGCGACGACGACGCAGACGCCGGCGACAACGATGACGACAACGACGACCACCACGACGTCGCCGCCGGCAAACGACGACCGCGACCACGACAGCAACGACGCATGCGATTAAGCCTGCATCGAGCCTGAGTTCGATTCTGGCAAAGCTGGATCGAGCCCGAATGATAATCGATTAGATTTGCATCCAGACTTAGTAGGATCCTATAAGGGCCAGGTTGAGCCCCAGTAGGATGAGGATGCGGATGGTGATGATGGTGTCGACGAGAAGGGCAGAGCCGAGTAGAGTAGGGCAGAGCAGAGTGGAATAGAGTAGAGTAGACGAGGGTAGAGGAGAGTAGAGAGGGGTAGAAAAGAGTAGAGTAGAGTACAGCAGAGCCTTTGTAGGAGTTGGAAATGGCTGGATCGAGCCATGGTAGCACTCTATCAGTGCTGGCGCCTAGCGTAGGCGCCTGCGACAGGTGCGCCGCCACCGCCGATCACGTTGTCGCCGTCGTCGTCGGCGTCCGTCGTCGTAGACATTGTCGTCGTAGTCGTCGTCGTCGTCGTCGTCGTCGTCGTCGTCGTCGTCGCCGTCGCCGTCGGCCTCGGCCTCGGCCTCGGCGTCGGCGTCGGCGTCGGCGTCGGCGTCGTCGTCGACGTCGTTTTCGTCGTCGTTGCCTGGAGAAGGGGGTAGTCCTGGACCCCCTCACTCATTTTCCCAAGGGGGGGGGTGTCTTGACCCCTCCCCCGACTCATTTTCCCGAGGGGGGGGGGGGTCAGACCCTCCACCATTGATTTTCCCGGGAGGGGGGAGGGGTTCGGAGACCCCCTGGGTTCGTCCCGGGGGGAGTGGAGTCTGAGGGGTGGGGGAGGGGCCAACTGGGCTCTGACCCCCCTCCCCGTAAGATTTCTGCTAGGTTTAGGTCGGGCATGTCCTCCTACAGGCGCATTTTGGTTTCAAATCACCAAACAAAAAATTCAAATAGCCACAAATTCTGGAAAAACTGTTCCAGACTATTTTTTGTTTTTTTTTGGGGGGGGGGGGGAACACTCCTCCTGTAGAGGCACATGCCCTACTGAATGTTAGGCAGGGGAGGGCCCCCCCTGGTGTCTGACCGTCGACCCTCCCCTTCGAGGGGATTCTGGGGCAGGCGACGGTGGACCCGCGCCCCCTTCCAACCCATACTCCAGATTTCGTAATAAAGGGAGGGGGGTCTCATTTCGGGGGGGGGTCTCTTCCAGGCTATCTTGGTAGGCCTGGGGGGTCTGGGGACGATGTTTTGGAGGGTTCTCCCACGGGGGAGGTCTGAAATGGCTTGTATTGGAGGGTCCAGACCCCCTCCCTTTCATGACGAAATCTGGAGTACCCTCACGGAGATGCGGCACCGGGGGACCACTGCAAGCCTGTGACCGTCCGAGGCGCGTGCCGGTGCCAGCGGAGGCATCAAAAGGTTCGGGGAAAAGGGTGAGGGGGGAGGGAGGTGCAGGCGGAGGGCGGCCTGAAGTTGAAGAGGCCAGAGGAGGAGGAGGAGGAGGAGGAGGAGGAGGACGACGAGGAGGAAGACGAGGAGGAGGAGGAGGAGGAGCAGGAGGAGGCCTGAAGTTGAAGAGGCCAAAGGAGGAGGAGGAGGAGGAGGAGGAGGAGGAGGAGGAGGAAAACGACGAGGAGGAAGACGAGGAGGAGAAAGACGAGGAGCAGGAGGAGGAAATACACAATATTGATGTTCTAGTGTTTCAAAGCTCGCAGAGGCGAAACAAACGGAGCGCATCTGAGCAGACTGCACGTGTTGCGAGCGGCCACGGACAAGACATTTGAAACCCAACTGGGCGGAAGGGAATTGAAGGATTCATGTACATGAATTGGTTGCGCGTCTTCAATTGCAGACGAAATCGAGGCGGAGGGAAAAGGTTGGGTTGAAAGAACAAAGCATGTCTAAGGTCAGTCAGCGTGTCCGACCCGAGGCAGTCCTGGGGATAGCATCGTGAAGCAGTAGGAAACAACACCAACTGTTTGGCAGCGTGGGCCCAGAGCAGTGACTTCTGACACCATGGATGTGCAAGCTATATATTGCAAGCTACGTGGTGCAGGCTATGTGGTGCAAATTACGTGGTGCAACAAATTATGTGGCTCATGTTATGTGTTGTAAGCTGTAATGTGCTGGCGATGTGGTACAAGTTATGTGGTCAGCGGTGCGGTGCAAGCTATTTGGTGCGTGCAAGCTACGTGGTGCAACCTATGCGGTGCAAGCTGCGGGCTGCACTACGTACGATTTTGAGCTATGCGGTGCAATCGGTGTGGCGGAAGCTATGTGGTGCAAGTAACGTGGCGGAAGTTGTGCGGCGCAAGTTGTGTGGTGCAAGCCGCGCAGTGCAAGCCATGGCGTGCCCTGCCGTGGGTTTCCCCGAGGCGTCCACGGCTGGGCACCAGCCGAAACCCGGGAATGTTTATACGACCACCCTTCGGAACAATGGCGGGACACCGACGGAGGACACCGACGCGACGTCGACGGGATGCCGACGGGCCACCACGGGACACCACTGGACATCATCGGGACACCGAGCAGCGAGCGCACAGCCGAAAAAAAGCGAACGCTTGCCCAGTGACTTAAGGAACAACTAAGAGTCGATACGTGCGAGCACCGCAGAAGGAACAATGAAGATGTTAAGTTGGTGGCAGCTTAGTTGTGTGACCACTTGTCCAACAGCATGGCTTGGACGACCCATGGGTCAGACATCGAAACGTCCCTGCATATGGAATGATGCTCACGGTTGAATAGGAGCACGTGAGAGAGTGTCCTCCCAGAAAATTCATGTTGATTGCAGCACACCTTGAAGGCGCACGACGTTGAACGACTAACTACCGCGAAACATGTATGCCGGACAGCGTAGTTCAAGCCACGAGCCAATCGGACGACTCTGCGGCTAATCAGCATGCTTCTGACCCAGCTCCAGTAGCTGTGTCCATCGGAACCGACGGTCAACGCGCTGGTCTACTCCGCCAGTCGTTCTGGCAACAGGGGTGGCGCGCTGGAGCGCCAGGGCTCGACCCACCAGGTCGTGGCACTCAGGGGCAGCCTCGCACGCCTGCGGCATCCACAGGTCCTGGCGCCGGGAAATCCAGCTCACCCGAGACGCGGCGTCGGCCCCGTGTCCAATACGAACGCTTGCTTCTCGTCCCACGCGTGTGCAAGCAGGCCCAAGAGAGGACTTTCTGGCCCAGGGCAGGCTGGCGACGCAGATCTTCACAGAACATGCTAGCGCCTCTTGTAACATTAATTTGTGGGCTGCCTCCGTGGAGGCTGTGCCCATGACGTCCTTCAGTCTCAGGCTCGACGTGGAATTTTGTCTCTACTGCTGGAAGCAGTTCTCTGTATTTCCCACTGCTGCAGACTGCAAATGCCCTGGAGGCTCTTGTGGTGAAGCCGTGGAGGTCGAAACCGCGTCCACTACGAATTGCATTGTCGGCGGCTCCGCCGCGGGTTCCAGGACGACTGCGTTGCCACATGGGCGACGGAAGAGAACGGGGCCGACTGCGCCGACACTCGCGTGCAGGCTTCCCGCGCCGGGCCGCGCGGGAGCGCCCTCCCCTCCGCGGCAGAGCGGCACGCTGGCGGCTCGCCTCGGCCGCGGCGTGAGGCCACTGTGCCTCCTCGCGCACGGCCACTTCGGTTTGGCCGCCCGCCTGTGCCGACGGCCTCGTCGCGGCCCTCCCTGCCCCAGCCGGCCCCCGTGGCGGCAGCAGGCCGATCGAGGCGGTGCCGCGGCGGCCTCCGGGCGAGCTCCTGGCGAGCGTGCCCCCGCCATGCCAGCCGGGCGGTGGCGCGCCGATGCTGCAGCCTTTGGAAGCTCGGGAGGCTGCCGCCCTGTGGGCGGCAGCCCTCCACGACGACTCGGCGGGGGTGCTGCTCTCCGCTCGCCCCCGGCTATGACGTACGTCGTGAAGGTTCCTCGCCCTCTCCCTGGGTTGTTTTTGTTGAGCGCAGGATGCCCAAAGCATGGGCTCCCATCCGGTGGTTTCAAGCAGGCCTGTCCTCGGTGGTCCAGGACTGCAGTCCCGTTGCGGTGTGGGTCTCGTTGTAAGATCGCTCCTCTGCTCCCCTCGTTCAGAATGGCGCTGTCGCCCCAGTGCGGGCCACTTTTCCGGATCCGAGGCCTTCCTCAGCGTTGTCGACCCGCTCCGTTCCCTTCCCCCCCTTCCCTGGTCATCCCGCTCCGCCCGCGTCTCCCACTCCTGGTCTTGCTGATGCTGCTCATCCTCGTTATTCTTTTTGTTCACATCCTCTTACTCTTCCTGCTCATCCTCCTGCTCATCTGCCACCTCCTCCAATGTGCGCGTCTGCCCTTTTCCTGATTGCGCATTTCCTTCTGGAGGGGCCCAGGTGCGCTGTGACACCTGCGGGCGGATAAAGGAAAATCTGCGCAATGGAAAGAGATGGGATGGAATGGTAGTATGCCAGATGAGGCGTGAGCGCTCCTGGCTTGCCCCCCTCTCTCTCTCCTCCCCCCCTTCCCTTGGCACCCGTCGTTCTGATTTTGTGCAGTCCGCGGCCTCAGGGCTCCCGATCGTTTCCCCAGGGGTAGCTTCTCTTCCTGGAGTCATGTTTGATTGTCCCCGGGCCCGAAGTCGGCCCCTTAGGGCAATCGAAGACGGACGCGGGGATTACAAAAAACGCATCGCATGGGCTCTCCCCCGCCTGACTCTGGCCATCCCCCGCCCGCCCGCCCCCCCCCCAGGACGCCTTGGCGCCGCCGGGACGCTCCAGCGAACCAGCTGAGCGGTCCAGCGCCCACACGGACGAGTTCCAGGACCGGCTGCCCACTGGGGGTTGGCGCGAGGGGCGTGAGCTGGTTTCGCCGGCGCCGGTTTCGCTGGCGTTGGTTTCGCCCCGCTGGTTTCGCCGACGGCTAGTTTCGCCGGCGCTGATTTCGCTGGCGATGGTTTTGCCGACGCCGTCGTCGGCGTCGGCGTCGCCGCCGCCGCCGCCGTCGTCGTCGTCGTCGTCGTCGTCGTCGTCGTCGTCGTCGTCGTCGTCGTCGTCGTCGGGCGTCGGGCGTCGGACCCGAGCTGGCGGGTTGGGCGGGCGGGCGGGCCCGAGCGGGCGGGTCGGGTCGGGTCGGGTCCGGCGGGCGGACCCTAACGGGCGGGTCGGTTCGTGCGGGCGGGACATGAAAGTGTGGGGCGCGCTCGACCGAGCACGCGCGAACCCTAATTGGCGGGTCGGGTCGGGCGGGCGGACCCTAGCGGGTGGATCGGGTCGGGTCGGGCAGGCGGACCCTAACGGGCGGGTCGGGTCGGACATTGAAGTGTGGGGCGCGCTCTAACGGGCGGGTCGGTTCGGGCGGGCGGACCCTAGCGGGCGGGTCGAGTCGGGTCGGGCGGACGGACCCTACCCAGAGGATGGATGGGCGCGGAAAACACGCCTGTGCATGCTTTCGCATTTCGCGCATTAAAAAACATGTTTGGGGATACTGTTCCCCTTTAAAAAAACAACGACAACTTATATGTTGTTTGACCCACATGTGCTTGCCATGTAGTGTATAACCATGCTTGTTCACACATCTGTTCGTAGTTTATAATTATATGCAATTCCATACATGTGTATATACTCATATACATATATATATATATATATATATATACACAGCTATACGTGTATGTATGTATGTATGTATGTATGTATTTACGTATGTATGTATGTATGCCAGAGTGAGGGGGCTGAAACAAACGGTCATTCACTGTCCCTGGGTGCGTGGCTGAAGTGGAATTCCGCGATGCGGATTATTGTTGCTGTTGGTTGTTGTTTGTTGTGTGTTGTTTGTTGTTTGCTGTTGTCGTCTTCCCACCCGCGCCCCGCCCCGCGACCCAACCGCGAACCACCCCGCGACCCACCCGCGACCCAATCCGCGACCCGCCCGCGACCACTCCGAGACCCCCCCGGCGACCCACCCGCGACCCACCAGCGACACACCCGCGACCCACCCGCGACCCACCCCGCGACCCACTCGCGACCCACCCGTGACCCACCCGCGACCCACCGCGACCCACCCGCGACCCACCCGCGACCCACCCCGCGACCCACCCAAAAATGTTCGGCGCCTGCGGCGGGTTTCTCTTGCATTCGTTCCAGGTGGAGAACTTGCGACCCACCCGCGACCCAAACCGCGTTTGGTGTACAAATCGAATTTTTCGGCGCCTGCGGCGGGCTTGTTTTGAATTCCTTCCACGTGGAGGTGGAGAGCCCGCCACCCACCCGCGACCCAAATTACGTTCACTGAACAAGCCGAAATTTCGGCGCCTGCAGCGGGTTTCTCTTGCATCGGCGACCCACCCGCGACCCACCAGCGACCCACCCCGAGACCCACCCCGACCCACCCGCGACCCACCCGCGACCCACCCGCGACGACCCACCCGCGACCCACCGCGACCCACCCTCGACCCACCCGCGACCCACCCCGCGACCCACCCAAAAATGTTCGGCGCCTGCAGCGGGTTTCTTTTGCATTCTTTCCAGGTGGCAACTTGCGACCCACCCGCGACCCAAACCGCGTCCATTGTGCAAATCGAAATTTTCGGCGCTTGCGGCGGGCTGTTTTTGAATTCTTTCCAGGTGGAGGTGGAGAGCCCGCGACCCACCCGCGACCCAAACTACTTTCATTGAGCCCCCCTGCGCGCGCGCGCTCCGCGGAGGAGGGCAGGAGAGCGAGGAGCAGGAAGAGGAAGACGACGAGGACGACGACGACGACGACGACGACGACGACGACGACGACGACGACGACGACGACGAGTTCGAGGATGAAGAGGAGGCCGACGACGAGGGCGAGGAGGAACAGAGGGGGGGACGGAGGGGGACGACGAGAAAGGAGGGGGGAGGAGGGGAGGAGGAGAGAGAGAGAGGAGGAGGAGGAGGAGGAGGAGGAGGAGAGAGGACGAACGACGACGACGGGAAAGGAGGAGGGGGAGGATCGGGATAGGGGGAGGAAGGGGGAGAAGGGGAGGAGGGAAGGAGGAGGAGAGGAGGAGGAGGAGGAGGGAGGGAGGAGGAGGAGGAGAGGAGGAGGAGGGGAGAGGAAGGAGATGAGGAGGAAAAGGAGGAAGAGGATGAGGAGGAGGTGGAGGAGAAGGAGGAGGAGGAGGCGGACGACGACGACGACGATGAGGACGAGGACGCGGACGAGGAAAAGGAGGAGGAGGAGGAGGAGGAGAAGGAGGAGGGCGCCATCGACAGGGAAGGTGAGGGCCACGAGGTCCGCCGGCTCGACGCCCGCGTCGCCCGCGCCCGCCCCCTCACTCTTATCCGCAATTGCGGGGTGCTACGTATATCAGAGTGAGGGTGCTAAACGGAACGGTCATTAACTGGCCCTGGGATCCTGGCTGAAGTGGAATTCCGCGATGCGGATTATGTTTGTTGTTTGTTGTTTGTTGTTTGTTGTTTGTTGTTTGTTGTTGTCGTCCCACAAGCGACCCGCCCCGCGACCCACCCGCGACCCACCCCGCGACCCACCCGCAACCCACCCCGCGACCCACCCACGACCCACCCGCGACCCACCCGCGACCCACCCCGCGACCCGCCCGCGACCCACCCCGAGACCCCCCCGGCGACCCACCACGCGACCCACCCGCGACCCACCCGCGACCCACCCGCGACCCACCCGCGACCCACCCGCGACCAACACGCGACCCACCCGCGACCCACCGCGACCCACCCTCGACCCACCCGCGACCCACCCCGCGACCCACCCAAAATTGTCGGCGTCTGCGGCGGGTTTCTTTTGCATTCGTTCCAGGTGGAGAACCTGCGACCCACCCGCGACCCAAACCGCGTTCAGTGTGCAAATCAAAGTTTTCGGCGCCTGCGGCGGGCTGTTTTTGAGTTCCTTTCCAGGTAGAGGTGGAGAGCCCGCGACTCACCCGCGACCCATATTACGTTCTCGGAACAACCCAAAAACTTCGGCGCCTGCGGCGGGTTTCTCTTGCATCGGCGACCCACCCGCGACCCACCAGCGACCCACCCCGAGACCCACCCGCGATCCACCACGCGACCCACCCGCGACCCACCCGCGACCCACACGCGACCCACCCGCGACCCACCCGCGACCCACCGCGACCCACCCGCGACCCACCCCGCGACCCCCCCCCCCCCCACCCCCCCCCCCCCCCCCCCCCCACACACACACACACACACACACACACACACACACACACAACACACACACACACACACACACACACACACACACACACACACACACACACACACACACACCACACACACACACACACACACACACACACACACACACACACACACACACACACACACACACACACACACACACACACACACACACACACACACACACACACACACACACACACACACACACACACACAACACACACACACACACACACACACACACACACACACACACACACACACACACACACACACACACACACACACACACACACACACACACACACACACACACACACACACACACACACACACACACACACACACACACACACACACACACACACACACACACACACACACACACACACACACACACACACACACACACACACACACACACACACACACACACACACACACACACACACACACACACACACACACACACACACACACACACACACACACACACACACACACACACACACACAATATTTTCAGCGCCTGCGGCGGGCTTCTTTTGTATTCGTTCCAGGTGGAGACCCTGCGACCCACCCGCGACCCAAACCGCGTTCAGTGTACAAATCAAAATGTTCGGCGCCTGCGGCGGGCTGTTTTTGAATTCTTTCCAGGTGGAGGTGGAGAGCCCGCGACCCACCCGCGACCCAAACTACGTTCACTGAACACCCCCGGCGCGCGCGCGCTCCGCGGAGGAGGGGAGGAGGAGCAGGGCGAAGAGCAGGACGACGACGACGACGACGACGACGAGGACGAAGAGGAGGCCGACGACGAGAGCGAGGATGAAAAAGGGGGGGGGACGGAGGGGGACGACGAGAAAGGAGGGAGGAGGAGGAAAAGGCGGAGGAGGATGACGACGACGGAAAGGAGGAGGGGGGGGGAACGGGATTGGGGAGGAGGAGGAGGAGGAGCAGGAGGAGGAGGAGGAGGAGGAGGAGGAGGAGGAGGATGGCGCCATCGACAGGGAAGGTGAGGGCCACGAGGTCCGCCGGCTCGACGCCCGCGTCGCCCGCGCCCGCCCCCTACCTCTCATCCGCAATTGAGGGGTGCTACGTATGTATGTATGCAAGTATGTCTGTCTGTCTGTCTGTCTGTATGCATGCATGCATGCATGTACGCATCTGAAATAGATGTACATATTCGCAAAGGCTTCGCCCCCTGCCGCCGGCCCACTTTTTACCTAACAGCGAAGACTGATAGGTTTCTAGTGGGATCAAAAGAGAGCAGCAGATCACTCCACAGGGGGGTCCGGGCAGGTGTTGGGAGTTGCCGGGCGGCAGGTGCCGGGCTCGTTTTTCACCAACAGTCACACACTTCGTGCTCTTCGACTTCCCAGAACTCCATTCCCAGGCCACATTCTCAATACCCGGATGCAACAGTCACACACTTCGTGCTCTTCGAGATCCCAGAACGCCATTCCCGGGCCACATTTAGAATAACCGGATGCAACAGTCACACACTTCGTGCTCTTCGACATCCCAGAACTCCATTCCCGGGCCACATTTGGATGCCCGGAGCCAACTGGCCACTAGGCCACTTCGTGGTCTTCGAGTTCCCAGAACTCCATTCCCGGGCCACATTTTGGATG